CCCGGGGCAGGGCCGGCGCGCCGTCCGGCACCGGACGTGGACTGTCGGCCGTTTCTCGTCTGATTCCGCACGCAGCGGGACCTCTCACGCAGGGCAGAAACGATACGCCACGGGCGATCTGTGAGGGATCGTCTCCTCAGGGTTGAAGTCGCAGGCGGTCATATTCCCGCACTGTATGCAGCTTCTTCGTTAGTCACGAAGAATACCAAGAAATAAGATTCAATTCGTAAAGGTGACCAGTGACTCATGCATGCCGCTGGACGCGACGGCCCAGCAGGGGCGGGACCACCAGGTCCAACACCACGTGTGACCACTAGAGCAAACACCACGTGTGGCCACGGCGTCGACCACCCGCCGTGATCGGCAGCTGCGATATCCGATCCCGATCTGGTTTGCAACACGGCCGCCCCCGCCCCCGCCCCCGCCGCGGGCCAGGGCGGGGGCGGGCCCGAAAGTCACGCCATCAGCCGCCCGATCGTTTGTCCAATGACTGACGGAGTAAGAAGTGGTGCATGGCGGATAGCGCCAGTCGGGGGACAGTCTGCGTCGTGTTTATGTGTAGTGTTAGGTTAGCAAACATAAGATATAAAAAGTTAGAATCTCTAAACATTTGATGACGCATAACAGAGCAATAAGAAGGGACATTTCATAATCCACGTAGCTCCCTCCATTCAAGCGTCCCATGCTCATGTACGCTCAGCCGTAGTATCACTTCCTTTCCTACAGTTGATCCCACTTTCACACTCGTTCATCCCACTTCCTTTATGAGACGGGCCCACGTCACTCCGCCGGCCGGAAGCTCCATGCGTCACGCGATCACCACGGATCCGTACCGTGACGGGCGCCGTACGGAGCGGCACCGCCGTGTAATCGCACGGGGATTCGTTCCGCGCTCCCGGCTTCATTCAGACGCTGCAGTCGCGGCGAGGTGCAGCTGCCGAGGCGCCGACGGGGCTCGTAGAAGACGGGACGTGTCGCTTTCGTTTCTGTATTCGTAGCTTGAATAAATGAAAACGTCACAGGCTGACGTACCTATTTTTTTTTCGGTGGTGATGCTACATTTTTCCTCGTTGTCGCTACATCTACATGCCAGTTCAATTTGTCTGGCTTTAACAATACAACAGCCGCTCGGTTATGCGGGGTTTCACCTCGCTTTGGGGCTGTTATCTGTGGATCTAAGTAAAAATCGTGACAGCGCGGCGGGGCGGAGAGCACGAGATCACGATATTTATGGTGGCGGGGCCCATGGCGCTGCAGACTGGCATCAATATCGCGTGCTGGCCTCACTCGCGGGCCGGTCCGCCCACCGGCGGAGTTCCGCCCGGTCCGCCGCTCCGCCCGCGCGGAGGGCGGAGGGGGGGGGGGGTCTCAGACCGGCCAGTGTCGCCGGTGGCTGAGGGCGGTGCCGGCGGCGGTACTCATCAGTCCTAGTACCGCTGCTCAGCTGTCGCCGTCTCAAGGCTAGCGTAACGTCCTGTGAGCTATACCTGACAAGAGTCCTGGCGAGCAGGGTGAATACCTACCCAAGCCTCTCAGCCGAACACGTGTGTTTCTCCCCAGGCCGGTGCGGCGCACGGGAAGTCGCGTATACCGTCGGCGTGCGGCGGAGGGAGGGCGGCTGTTTGTGAGTCGCCCCGTCCCGGCGCAACGGGCCGGTTTCAAGGTGACCCTGTGTTTGCCCGTTGTCGGCCCAAGCCGCCCGCTGCCACCTCTCTGGAAAACAACGGAGCTAACGGCGGGCGAACCGGGACCGCCCCTCAGTTGCGTAACGTGCGCGTATACTGCGACAAATGAGACGTATCGCAGAGGGCGGGTGCAGATCTGCGTGACCTTTGTCGGTGAAAAATGGAGGGAGGGAGGTCGGGGCGGAACGAATGTCGGGATCAGCTTATGGTGATTTACAGCCGACTACATCATGCTAATCGACGTGTGGGAGGATGTCGGCGATGCACACTTCACGGGCAATTAACATTAATTTCAGCGATTGATTCATTCATGTCTGCCACCTGATAACAGTGGCATGCGTAAATATTGCTTTGATAACAGCTGCGCGACTGAATGAATTGAACGTGGTTACGTGACCTCGGATTAGAGAAACAATCCCGATGCCGAAGAGCTTTTGTGGTCGCGCGTGCGTTGAGCGCTAGGAATGCTAGCATGCAGCGAGCCAATCGAGAATACAATGGCTTCCTTGACTTGGAACATCGATCAGGGCTTAGACAGGCGGATTCAGCGACCTTCTTGGTCGCCGTCTCGAATAATCGGCGAGCCCACCTTTCGCTTTCGTTCACTTCACCTTTCGTCGGACAGATGTTCTCTGAGTTCTCCTCACGACGCGACAGACAAGTTTGGTGGTCTACTGGCAGTTCGATTTCCATTCAATGCCATCACACCTAGCTTATATAACTCGCAAAGCGTACGAAAACGTCATGCAGATAACTCAGCGCAGTTCATCCAATACATCTAAAGCTATTTTAAATACGATTTCCATTCACAGCCAAGTATGCTCCGTTGCCACAGATTCTAATTCAATAAATTCATTTCAATGGCTAGTTTAGCACTCGTCCCCGTGATCAGCTGCAGAAAGCACTCGGCTCTCCTTGACACGGTTTCCTGCGGCCTCCGCGGTGCAGGGTGCACCCTAAGGGGACGGTGACCCGCCGCGTCCGGGCGAGCGGAGCGGCGTTTCACTCTCCTGTAGAGGGAGAGCGGTGCCGGTCGGACGCCCTCTCCGCACAGACGTCCGGTCGAGGTCGTCGGGACCGGTGCTGGCCTCATGACGACACACGGTGCCGCCTGCCGTCGCCGGCGGCGGCCGGTGAAACTGGGCGACCCCGCCACCGCCCGACGTACCGGTCCGGCCAGCGCCACGGGCAGGGGCACGGCCAGCGCAGGACGGGGGCATGCGAGAGTCCTGTCTTGTCTTGAGCGGAAGGATGCAGGGATTGAAACTGTAAAATCCCTTCAGCTTCAGCGAATAACAAGGGACGGCAGCTGGTGTGATGTAGATGCGTACGATTGCCTAAATTGATTGCAGTTTCCCTTATGAAATGTAGGTTCTTGATTAAAATTTTCGCTAAAAGGGACTATTTTTAATTACAAAATGGGATACTTCTCCTGTGAACTAGCAAACTCTGCTCATAACAACTCTAGACGCAAGTACAAGCGCACTATTTCCCACCAAAACGGAACAGCGTTGCCTCCCTCCATACCGTTGCCCGGCCCGACATACCCGTTTGCCGCGCGGCGCGTCCCCTCTCACCCTTCCGACCGGGGTGGCAGCTGGTGCCCCGGTAAACCCTTCCCCATCCCATGGCTATTTATAGACGGGCGAGACGTAGAGGTCAGCAAAACAACCCGGAAAGCGGCCGTGCTGTCGGCCATGTGCGCACCTTGGGACGCAGCGGGGCGGGCCATGAATAGGGCTGTGTTCATAGGAACACCCGTCGTGATGGCCAAAGCCGGAGGTATTTAAATGATCGGTCCTAGAGATGGTGGAAATGATGCATAACTTATGGAATGAGATCCCAGCAGCGGTCGATTAACAACGTTAAAATATACTTCAGACAATTGCATAAGCATCTGCAGATGGTTACAGCACATATTCATTTACGATTACGACGGTAACCAAGGCGCATATTTTATTAACACTGACGTCGAATTAATGTTCGTTAGTTAACCATATAACACATTCGCCCGTCTTGTGATTGCGTCTGAACTGGTAGTTGATGATGCATCGAGACCAATTTTCGTTTTCGTTACGCGACCTTCTCCGGGTCAGGGTGCTGCCCGCGGGTATAATACACCGGTGGCCGTTAGTGGATGATAGTGCGTGTGCGTGAGCCTACACCATCTGGGTCAGGGCCTGGGTCGTCCCGGGTATGGAGCGCTCTCAGCGCCCGGGGACCGTCTCGCTGAGTCAGGATGCCGCTTCCGCGTGAGCCAAACGGCGCGTCCAAGGCTGCGCACCGGCCGCCGACGTCGCCCGGGCGCCGCGCGAGACTCCGCTTTCAGGGAACGGCTCTCACAATGGGGCCGGACGGGGGAGGGAAGGGAGGGGAGGGGAGGCGCCATTAACGCACCGCCGCCGGCCGGGGTCAAGGGTGGTGTGCGCGGGGAGACCGGGGAGGGGAGCGCACGCACCCCACGCACAGCACACCCGGTGTACACAAGGGTGCCGAGCGAGGGGAGGGAGAGCCCGTTCGGGCGCCATGCGGATGCAAAATAAGCTGGTCGACGCCGGCGCACGGCCCGGGTGCGGTCGAACGTGAGAGCTCGCCAGACCTGTTTATGCATTACGGTCTGTGTTTATGTACACGGAGCCCCGCATACCTTTTTAAGTGTATTTTGCCGTCGGGTAGGAAGATGTGTTTATTTGTGCACTACCTTGCATGGATATTGGTCGGCCTAACGAAAACAAGCTATCAGCTGAATATCTGCCACTGGCATTGGTCACGCTGGTTACCAACTTAGTCCATTCCAAAGTAGGCCAATGGTTTATGGATGAGCAAAAACATAAGATCATTAATTAGCGCCCTAAAGTAATTGTATAAGATAACCGAGCCTTAATGTCGAAGAGGAGCTGGCCGACTATGCATCTATTTCAATAAACTAACCTTCATAAAGGAGCAATGATCGCGACATTGACGAAGAACAGGCCCACGACAAAATTAATCGCAGTAGCGCACCGGAGAATGATGCAGAAGTCTGCTGACAGCATATGTATACCAAACCTAACATGGACATGCCTACTACTGAAGTTGATAAGTCTCACATTCATAAATTTCAAACAAAGACAGTGGTAAGGGATTCGCTTGCCATCCAATATATCTAGGAACTTGTGCTTCTTACCCATTTTATTCCACTTCATCATTTACTTCGCATTTCCTGGCACACACAATGCATCCAATTCCTCCAGTCCACCAACCAGTGGCAAGATAGCGTGACCTTGCCGCGTCCCGTGACAACTCGCGCTGACTCCCATCTGTGTCCCGTTTCAGGCTCCATCAGCTCGGCGTTCGACTGGGCCGAGTCCGTGGAGTGGTCGCCGGCCGCCCGCCAGGCGCGTCTCCAAGCCGAGACGCTCGAGGCGGTCAGCAGCCGGCTGCGCGAAGCTCGCGTCAAAGAGTCCACCAGCGAGGAGGACGAGGAACAGGTCGACGTCACCGCCCTCTCCGAAGAGGAGGAGGACCAGGAGGAAGAGGAGCGCCAGGAGGAGCCGGTCACCGAGCCGGCGACCCGCAAACAGGCGGAACAGGAGCCGGAGGATGACGAGCCCGCCGAGCCGGCCACCGTCGCTGATGATGATGAGCCGGTGGATCTGTCGGTCGGTGCGAATCCTCGACGATGCTTCCCGTCGCTGGCGCCGGCGTCACGGCGTACTTCGGTTATCGCACACACCACCACGGTGCCAAAGAAGAGGGCCTACTACCGGCGCAACCTCCTGCCCGGAGGCAAGTTCCACCTGGACTCTCCCCCGCCATCCTCCGAGCGCCCCAAGGACCTGCGGGTGCCGCGCACCGGTCTGGCGCCCGTGCAGAACCCGCTCGGCTCGGGCAACAACCCCCTGTCGCCGACACCCGGCTCGCCGTACCGAGGTGGCGGCGGCGGCGGCCGCGGCGGGGGCGGTCCGGGCGGCCAGGGCGGGGGCGGCGGCCTCGGACCGCCCGGCTTCGGAGGCTTCTTCGGTCCTGGTGCCGGAGGAAACTTCGGCTTCGGTCTAATGAACTGCAAGACCGAACAACAAGGCGACGGCGGCTGCCGGAGCAGGCACTCACCACGACACTTTCAACCACATCATACGCCACATTTAGAGAACTTCCCCGTAGGCTACATCGACCAACAAGTGGAGGGCTGCAAGCCGCCGCCGCAGCCGCCTCCACACTGGGCGGCACAGGCGCAGACTGGACCTCGCATGCCTCCCGCCGGATACGGCTTCGGCGCTGACCCGTTCGCCACGTTCAGCGATCCCTACGAGCAGCTGGACGCTGAGCTCTTCGGCAACAGCGCAGCCGGCGAGCACAAGCCGGCCGTGTCGGCTGCCCCGCTCGGAGACGGTAACCATGACCTGTTCGGACTGGAGCAGCTCCTGCAGCAGGGCGGCGGCAACAACGGCGGCAACGGCGACCTCTCACAGCAGACGGTGACGGACGCGCTCGGCGAGCCTGCCTCTCTGCCGGCCGCGCTGCCGGCCCTCTCCGAGCCGGTGGTCTCCTCCTGTCTGGCTGACGCCATGTACGACGGCAAGTTCGTGGTCACCGGTCTGCCCGGCGGCCCGCAGCTGCCGGCCGTGCAGCCGACTCAGACGCCCGAGTCGTCGACGGCCGGTGGCGCGCAGAGCCGCACCTCGCCCGGTCCCATCCGCGGCGGACGCTGCTCGCCTCGCTCACCGCGCTCGGTCTGCGGGGACAGCGCCGACGGATCGCCCAGCCTGGACGCCCGCGTCGCCATGCTTCAGCAGAGGGTGAGTGGACGAGACCGGTTGTTGCTAGTGATATTCGAAGGGAGAGAGTGGGAGAGATACGACATGAGGGGCATTGGAAAACGATGGATTTTGGGAGCTAGTGGTGATAAGTTTTGTAAAGGCGCCCCATTAAGGGCCCATAACGCCTTCATGAGTCGTGGGAAAATGCGAGGCAAGGGGAGAGAATGTGCAAAACGAAACCCTAGCCCCAACTAACTTGAGCGTGGATAGAGGTTTTGAAGGAAACAGGGTCCAAATTACGCCTATGCTTTTGACATTTGACGGTTTACATAGGATCAACTGTGCCGCCATACCCACCGCCGCGCCGGATACATGTCAATATCGAACACCGTTCTGACGATGCGGGTGGTAAGGCCAACGGGCTTTTAGACAAAACACATGTGGGCCGCAGCAGCAACGGGACCAAATGTTGAAGGTCCTGGGCGGCCTCTGTGCCTGTTCGGGGTGCAACGTCTCTGCGGGTCGGGCTCGGCGTGACATGTTTACATCACTGCCCAGCGCCAGACGTGTCGACCGCCAGTGAAGTCGGGTCGCTGAAGTGTCCGCCGCCGCCCCTCGACCGATCCGGTCAGCCCGCGCAACGAGGCCACTCAAAGCAAATAAATTCACCGGCACCCGCTCTGGGCGCTCAGAACCAGGTCGTAGTGGCCGATGTGAAACCGTGCATAATTCAGCCGCTTCACGTAACGCCGATATCGCGCGCAGCCATGTCCTCCGTGGCCAATGGCTCGCTGCGTATCGGTCACCGGCGACATCCGAGCGCCGTGTCGGGCCGGCCTCCGCGCGGCGAAAACGTGCTGCAGCTTTCAGCAGAGCCCCTTTTGGGGTGCCCGCGTCACTCCATGAGCATATGCAGCGCATGACTGCGGTGCCGGCCGGGGTGGATTATGCAGCGCGCCGCGTCTGGTCTGGCCGGGTGCATTGTAACGGTCGGGCCGCAGCGGGAGGCGCTTTCATCGGCGCCGCTCACCGCCGCACTACGACATTGTGGCGCGTCGAAAGGAAAAGTGCCGGCTGACTCGTTAGAATTACAGAACCGCCGACGATAAAATGAACGGTTGGCTGTGAGCCTGGGACGCGGGCGTCGTGTAGCCTTGCTGCTGACTGCACAGCTGTCCTTGAGAGAAGCTTCACTGGCATCACGTCGCCTAAAACTCCACCAGCAGCCACTGCCGAAAAGCTGTGTTGAAAACAGCGCCGCCACCGTACCCGATGACACCAATTAATGATCTTAGCGGCCGCGGCGACGTGGATTTATAATCATCACATGCGGTGTGCCTAAATTGGAGATAATCATTACCGGACCTCGGCGATCATTACCAGAGCTCTGGCACGGGTATGTCCGGCTCCCATCGGCGGTAGCGGCAGTGACCTTGCTGGGCAGATGTCCCGGGGTGCTGCCGGTCCACCGCGGCCGCTGCGTGCCAAGGTCCCGTTTGTCCCGCCCCTGTCGGCGCTGGGCGACAACCCGGCGAGGAGCGCAACGGGGCCCACTCGTTGCGCAACTTGGAGCGCAGTCGACGCGCGAAAACTGACACAGGGGCTGACGTAGCCGTCGCTACGCCGGACGCTGGGTAATATCGCGGGAACCACCAGTGGCCTGGGGGACGGATAGCGGTAGGCCACCGGTGATTAAAGTGGATAGTTGTCAGGCTGATGCCGTGATACACAACCGACAACGAACACAATGTCAGCCCCCATGAAATTATGTTCAGTGTTCACACGTGTTCCAGCGGTTATACGTATATTTTGGTCACCTGTGATTAATGATGTGTTTTCTTGCTTGCAGCTGGGCCTTCCTGAAACTCATACCTTCGAGTTTGTCAATGGCGAGCACGGCATCAAGAACCCGCACGCCAACGAGCGTGCCTTCGAAGTGGAAAAACTGCCACCCATCAGTAAGTTTTACTACCTGTAAAAGGTAGCACAATGTTCGCTCACTCGAACCGCAAAGGGGCCCCAAAGCAGACTGACACGAAGCCCCCGTACTATTCCCTCATCAAACCGGGAATTGCATTTGCCTTCAGCACATTCAGCAGACCAGTGCGTGGGCATTCAGTCGCGTCTGACTGCTCACAGTAATGACTGCATTCGCGAGGCATGTGCGAACGCTCCTTCAATCGAATAGCGTGCTGGAGGAAACCGCTTCCGTTCCCTGTCGCCGGGCCGGTGAAGCGTTTCCGCTCCCCCGACTATCACACTGATGATGTGAGACATACATAGGTGCGGGCGTCACAGGATGTGTGTCATCTAAGTAGAGGAAAAGTGGCGAATTCTCAGTCGTCTTTGTCTTGCAGTACGAGTTTGCGTGGCAGAATAAACCGCTACAGATTTTGCGTTGGCTTACGCAGACACGAACTTTTAAACATTTCAGCCAGTGCTTGGTACTTCTGACAGCCATCAAGTTCATCTAGATGCTTTTTTTGCACTTGCTACGAATCACGGCAATTCCGATCGAGACTCGTTTTCTGACCGACCTGTTTTTCTTCCTTGCAGTCTGTGAGGAGGACCCGAAAACCTACATGTGCCGGCTCTGCTCCAAGAAGTTCAACCTGCTGCGCCTTCTGAACCGGCACATGAAGTGCCACTCGGACGTCAAACGTTACCTCTGCACCTTCTGCTGCAAGGGCTTCAACGACACCTTCGACCTGAAGCGACACACGCGCACACACACTGGTACGTTCGCAGGACCAAGATTGGGTAGTCAACATCTCATAGTCAGCGGAATCCCTATACACCCAACTCCTGTATGTAGAAATTCCTCGATTCCTAAACATTGCTAATAATTGAAGTCTCTTTGGCGTTCCATGTCTGTGGAATATTACAAGCCACTCCAACCGCTAGCACCAGCAGTTGGGTATGTCCAATTTACCGCAATGTTTACCGAACCGGTACAGCACTGCCAGACGTCACTAGCATCCAGGGGCGTGGCGGGAATGCACATTGCACAATCATCATTAGCGGCGACACGTCCCAGTCCGAGTCGATCGCAGACGCTTCCGACCCAGGCGCGGCCATGTTGGCCGACACGCCGCTCTTATATACACACAGTCTGATCTAAGGCCGAACTCTGAGCGAGACTCGTTTGCTAGGAAGGTTATCTCCTGGAACTGTCTGCTTCGGATCAACGTTTACCGGATTGCAGTGCTGTGAATTCCGAAATGTTAATAACATGATATGGCCGAGATAGAAATGTGGATTAGTTATGTCGCGTCCTGGTGCTGAAATTCCGGTGGTGAGCGCTGGTTTGTTTCATGTCAACTATCCTCGCAAGTCGCGTTCTTCTTCGCTCGTTCGTGGCAATCTCTGCTGAATGTCCGCTGAGTTCTGACATCTGCTCTCTTCTGTTCGACAGGCGTTCGCCCATACCGCTGCATGCTCTGCGAGAAGTCGTTCACCCAGCGGTGCTCCCTCGAGTCGCACTGCCTCAAAGTGCATGGCGTGCAGCATCAGTACAACTACAAGGAGAGACGCAACAAGGTCTACGTCTGCGAGGAGTGCGGGAGCACCTCGCTCGAGCCCGAGGCGCACTACTACCACCTCAAGGAGAGGCACCCCAACAGCCCGGCGCTGCTGAAGTTCTACGACAAGCGTCACTTCAAGTTCAACGCGAACTTTTCATCCATGATGCTGCAGTCGCGATCGTAGTGCCGACCGCGACCGCTAGGGGCGCTAGTGCGACGGTCGTCGGGTGACCGTCGCATCGCCACCGCCAAACGCGCGCGTTATGGGATCTGCATAGTTTACCCGACGTTACACCTGAGTGAGAACCGAAAACCACGAGCGCGACCTGACCTGGACGCTCACGAGGACATAGTTAACGCGAGGCGCTGCGCGCTGGCGCTCGCTAGGTGACTGGGGGTACTTTTCGTCATAAGAAGTGTCTATATGGTGCGTGGCTTCCTGGACAGAAACCACCAGTGGCCATGACTCGTGAAACGGGTCGCCTTTGGGACGCGCGCGTGCGCACACCGCTCGCCTCTGCCGACGCTGACAGCTAAAGGGGCATTCGTGCGCAAATAGACTACCTGCTGAGCTGTGCGAATTGCGAGAATGTGTGCTCGGATGCTGTATTCAGTGCGGCGTGTGCGAGAGATAGGAGGTAGTTGGTTCGCTCGTCCCGCAATGTTCAGAGGACTAGCGAGCCGGCTCCGCCAGCCATGGGTGAGTGGTGTGCAGACACAGTTGACCTAGGAACAACGCTGAGCGTCACGGCTCAGAGGTCGGGCCGACGTATATTTTTATACCAGATCTTTTCATCTCGAGCCTCGTGAATGAGGCCATTGTTATATTTGGTTTTAGCGCGCCACAATCACTTTGAAGAAACATTTGTACCTAAGCAATAATGTATGTTTTGAGTAGGTTATTGGCATGAACATGAACATCGAACCAATTTGTTTTATCTTGAACTTCTCTATAAAGCAATCAAATGAAGCTGATGCCAAGTGCTTTAGAACTATTGTAAAAACCGCGTTTTCATCGAACATTGTTTTGATTGCTTCAAAGAGAACTCGATAAAATATACGACAAAGCAAAGTTGTGTTTATGCCAATGCGGAAACGAATGATCAAACAACCTGGGCGATCGAACTTTTTAGTGAATACGAGCTAAATTTTGATAGAACAGCTGTGTCTGCATCACGTTCAAAAAGAAATCACTTGCCATTTAATGTGTGTGAGATACAAATGATACCGGAATGTTAAGTGATATGAAACAAAGGGCACGGGGCAAAGTATGTGAGCAAGCAATGTAAGCGTGAATAGTGAAAAGGATGCATGTATATAGACTAAAAGTATATATAGATAAAGCGTGGAACGTATCTGATGCCCGTCGTGAACGTCAGATCTGAGTGACCAATTTGAATAATAGAAACCGGCGGCCGATCATGCAGCTTCGCGCTGCTGGGTGCGCGTTAGGGTGCCGACTGCTGTGTGGGTGTGTCATGGGTGCTGTGTGGGTGTGTCGTGGGTGCTGTGTGGGTGTGTCGCGGGTGCTGAGTGGGTGCTCGAACGTCCGTAGACTGTATGGTCCCGTGAGCGTATATGAACTGCTATATAGTGTAGATAGTGTGCGCCGCTGAGCGTGTGTTGCGTGAAGGGACGGAATCGGTCTCACATGTGTCACCTTCCGTCCAGGGAGTACCCGCTGACGGTCCACAAACGACCCGGGAACACCTCGGTAGATACAGATTCGACTCCAGCGGTCCAGCATCCGGGGTAGAATTTAAAATGATATCAAACTTGTGATGTCATGTCATGACAGAAATACCATACGTTGGCCTAGTTTTCCCTTAGAGGACCGTCTGCGAGTGCTGTGATTCTGTATCTACCCAGCAGCTGACTAGGGCGGGGCAGACCCCTCATCAGCTGCTGAGAGGCCGGTCTGAGACCAGAGGCGATGGATTCCCGCACGACCAACGGGACCAAATGGGACCACGCGCGCGAGAGACGCGGGAAGTGCGAGGTAGCCTGAACATTCCCGCATCGGGAGTCAGTTGTGATACCAAGCCGCAATCACGAAGGACCCGGCAACGAACTGTCTTCCGATCCTCAATCATTCAGATGCAAAACACGCCATGTGCATCACTTTTAGAGGCATACCACTGCACAATAATGCCAACAACTTTATTATTTAAAATGGGTCAGAATTTTGCTCTAAGTGCAAAATGCTGTTTCATTTCAATTGGTTTATTGCGGCCCGTGAAATATGACGGGTATTTGAAGAAAATTCGTTCCGTCCTTCGTAAATACGGCTTATATTTCGCTAAATGCTTGGTGAGAAAACTAGTGGCGCAAACTAGGATTGTATACAAAGTTGTAAAAAATGCGTGCGTCTGGGATGGCTTGTTCCGCCTTGTTAGTGTTGACGCGACCTGTCCTGGGTCAGATCACAACGCCTGTGCCGTTCCGGCAGAGCTGAACGAAACCGAAACTTTCTAAACGTCGTTTGTCTTGTTAAATTTCGCTAGAAAAATGATCTCTTCCGCTACTGTCTTTGCCGCTGATCTTGGCAAAGTGTACAACCGAACGTCGCCGCTGACTACTGCGCTGTATCTTTTAAATGTCTCGTTTCAAATACTATTCCGAGTCTGACCGCCCTAGACTTGTTTGGTGGACCTCTAATGTCACTGCCGAGGAGACACGGCCGCGTCCGCGGGGATTTTGGGACCCAATCGGCCGGTGGAGACCTCCGAGTACAAATAGGAGTTGGACTGACTGGCGGCTGTGGGGAACAGCGTGCCGTCAGGAGGGAGCCAGCGAGAAAGGGACTGTCGCACCGTGCCTGCAGTGAGCGACCCTGTGGCTGCACGGGCAGCAAATACAAAGTTGGCGGTAGCCGGCTTGTTTTGAGGGACAGGTTTGCGGGAAAGAGAAAACGGCTAATCGTGGAGACACGGCCGACCGCCCTTCGGCCGCGCTTTCCAAGGTTACGTTTAAATCGAGAGGCTCAAGGACGACAACGTGTCCAGATTATGATCACCACAATAAATGGACAGTACAATAGATGGACATTTGACAGTGGATGCCTATTTACACCAATATTCATAACTCATATCTTTGCCAACTGCCAAGACATGGAACACCCGATGATAAGCTTGTCTTTTTAAAATATTTGTTAAGCTCGAATAGCACGACGTTCTGTCCGTAAGCTCCAGATAATCACTCATCAGTATCCGACTGTCATGTATTTAGCCCGTCATACCTGAGGCCATCGATTCCCTGTCACACCCCTTTCACCCGACACCTTGTTAGCCACCTCCTGACGTCCTCGACGAAGATGATATAAAACGAGACTGCCGAAGAGAGGGAGCCAACTAAGCACGACCACAAAGTTTATCCCCACATCACTGACAAAGTGACTGGTCAGTGATTATCCTCCGTCTGCACCAAGCCGGCGCCTCCACAAGCCGACCACGTCCCATTGTCGGATGGGCTGTGTACCGGGCATGTCAACATCCTCAGCGAAGGCCGCCCGCTTCGACAGAGCCGGGCAGAGGATTGTACGGAGTTTTTAGAGGCACCGACGGCGGAGACGGGATGAGCATCACTACGGTCGTGCCGATCACTGAGCACTGAGAAGAGAGCAGAATCTCCAGGCCACTCGGCAGATCGCTTATAGTGGTTTATGCAATACGATTCGGTTCAATACGGACATGGTGAGGTCGCAGAGACAAGAGAAGAAATCGAACTGAAGCAAGTGGTGGTGGATCGGAGTAGAATAGTTTCTGAGACTGGATCGGGAACATGCGGGAGTGATACGGTAGGGATGACCGAGGTCGACAGGGTTGATAGGGAATACTGACGGGGGCAGCAGTACCTACAGAACAACCAAAGCAAGGCCAAACGAGACATTTATTCGACAGAACACTCCAAACAGCAGACCCAGCGAGCGCATCACGTCCAAGCCAAGCTCGTGGCCAGTAATCTGACCCAGACCTATCAACTCCATCCCATCATTGGCGGGTCGAGGACATTTCCCATGCGAAAGCTCCACTATCGCGGACACTATCCCGATGGCCAAACACCGGGTACAGACCAACGTCTGTCCTTGCAGGGCCAGGACCGGTTTGCCGGTTTTCGGAGCCGGAACTGGCCGGATCGTTGGCGCCAACTCTAAAGGCCGACAGGGCCAACGGCCATCCAGCCTTCAACGACGACCACCGACCGTTAGCGGGCCGGGTAGCGGAGGGTTAGGGGGCTGAGACCCCGACCAAGAGACACCTGCGTCCGACGCAATGCGCGAGATGCACAGGCGGCCTTTTTTGACAGGGTTTACTGCAGAATGAGAGTTGGTTCATGCATGCGATCCAAGAGCTTTGAAGGTGATTAAAACTCACGAAGAGCAGAGCTTTGGCTTGAGGATGCAGTTTTGTGAGGAGCTTTCTGCTAAATATGGAACAGCTAGGCGAGGATCACGCTGAGCCGGAGGCGGGAACCAGTCTTCTGTTCATCTGTTGTTCTGATCCGCCAGCCTCCTTCAAGGCTACGAAACACAAACTGACTTATTGGGACAGCAATTTTCTTCTAATACTGATCTCGCAACATAATACGACGTTGCAGACGACTGTCGTTGAACGATCACCCAATCACCTCAGCAGACATGATCAGTCACACGGGTATAAAGTTGTGAGTTGCGTATGCGAAAGGCACGAGGAAGCGAAGCCGATTTTCCGCGGTCAATGAGCCAGCATCGTTGACTTCACGGTCGAATTTTAATACTGAGGCAAAATAAAAGGCCTGCTTGAACTGCGCAGTTCCACATATTTCTGACCTACGCCTAAAAATCTGAACCAATCTGCAGCTGTAAGCCGCAACCCTTGCTCTTCCTGTTTTGCAAAATCAAAGCAAAAAGCTGTAAAATGTAGTCATGATCGTCTCATTAAGACGAGATTATCTGCGAAAGCTGGTCAAGTTTCTATGTAAAACGTGTAATTCACCCAGACATGATAAACGGCTATGACTAAGGTAAACATTCTAATGACACGGCGATAAATATACATACTAGGAAGTAGGCGATAAATGTACTAGGAAGTAGGAATTAGCCAAGGCACCGGATGAAATATGAAAAAAACGACGCATAAAAGCAGACTGGAAGTAAAACGATAATTCTAAAGCTCACAACTTAGAACACTGAACGCCGAGCACTTTGAACCTAACTTAACAATCGTAGATAAGCGTAACGCCAAAAACCCAATAGGACTTCGCCAAAATTAATCCTCAGCCACTTTCCCGAAAGCATGTCAAATCCTCAAACAGCTTCATCCAACGTCCAGTGGCGGCGGAACAGCTTCAATTAAGGGGGGCACTGCCGACATTTGGTGACTTGGTCCCATTCTTTCCATGCATGCCCATCGTTAAAAAACCAAAATCAAAGGGGGGGGGGGGGTCACGGTGCCCCGGTATCCCCCCGTTCCGCCGCCTATGCCAGCGTCTGATATACGTGTTTCCAGAAGAGCAAGAAAGCTTCACATTTTCGATTACAGCCTGAATTACCGCTTCTTTTTTCACTGCGCGGCGTCACTGTCGGTCGCTCAGCCTGCGTCACACAGACGCAGTAAGATGCGTATTGGAAGTAAAACGATAATTCTAAAGCTCACAACTTAGAACACTGAACGCCGAGCACTTTGTACCTAACTTAGCGTAACGCCAAAAACCCAATAGGACTTCGCCAAAATCAATCCCCAGCCACTTTTCCGAAAACATGTCAAATCCTCAAACAGCTTCATCCAACGTCCAGTGGTGGCGGAACAGCTTCAATTAAGGGGGAGGGGGGCACTGCCGACATTTGGTCCCATTCTTTCCATGCATGCCCATAGTTAAAAAGCCGCCATGCGTAAGACTAAGGCCCTGGGCATCTCGGTCCACGCATCACCCGTCCACTGCTGCCATCGCTGCGTACCTCTACCACGAACACCACTGGCGCCAGAACGCGACCTTGTGGTAACCCACGAGCGGACAGTTCGAGCGAGTAACGGTGCACCGCTCTGGAGCCATGTCACCCCGGTCAGCACCAGTTGCAACGGGATAAGATAGGCGTCGGCCCCCTTCATGCATCATGCAGGGATATGTAAGGGGAGACGTTTGCCGCGCTCAACATGGCACCGGTCGATGTCAGTGAAGGGGCGGTGCATGTGGCTAGCGCTGGTGAGGGTCTGTTCCATTTTGGTCACAGTATCAGTCAGCTCGGTAGATTGGTCGAGTTGGCGGTTTATAAAACGTTTGCACAGTTGCAGGCCGACGATGCAAGATTACTTGCGCCTATGTGGCTATGGAATTGACATGAACCGTTGATCCGTGCAATGTGAAGATAGCCGGAGATACTGAATAAAATTTCGCCATTAGTGGTTGGAGCTCTCAAAACGTTATAAACTGCTTCATGTTGTGTGTGATAAACGTGCCCGGTATAAAACCGCTAACACTTTGTCAGACGAGAACTCACTGCTTCTAACAAATATTTATCCCCAGTCCCCTGGGGGCAACACAGCAAATGTCCCGACCTGAATGTACGCAAGCTGCCCGCACTATACGCACATCCGCCCGCAGATGTCTGCGCAAGTGCCGGCCTTGAACGCTGGGGTCGGTAAGCCGCACGACGTCTCGTTTGCAGCAGAGCCTGGCAAACGCGACAAGTTTGTATAGAAGCGGCCAGTCGCCATCTGGGGCAAAAACTTAAGGTCGGGCTTTTTGCAGACTTCTGCACGATTGCATCTGCAGACTGTAACGTCCAAAAGCGGCTCTTGTATTTCCTGGTTGTTCAGCTTTTGGACTGAAGTTTATGTTACAGCACTCATGGGTTTTCCAAATCGGGTATGATTCGGTGGCATGGATGCAGCGATATGTTGCGTGATAAAACTTCAAATACCTTCTTTGAACACATTTTACTGCTGCTCGCTGGATATGCCAGATCTATAGCGTGCAAGGTCTTAAATCCCCGTACAATGAACAGAAATGCAAGCAGTTCCAAAAACCTATTGTTTACTACGGACAACAAAAATTGGCTCCGGATCCGCACTACCACCTTGGTGTACCTACAGAAAAACATACATTAAAACTGTCGCATTTGGCTAACACCACTGTCGCGACTTCCGACGGTTTGAGCCCTGCGTACAGTCCGACACGATGTCAAATCCACTGCCTAAGGGACAACGCCATGCTAGCTGACGTTACCTTCACATGAGATGAGTTCAGTTATCTGATGCACCAGGCCAAACGCACGCACATTCACTCTGGGCTAACCAAATACGGATTGTAGATCTCCCTTTGTGAAGCTGTATGTCTCAGAAATTAAGGGGATAATCCCGCTGCAAAATCCAAGAAACGCACTCACTTCGACCTCTTTGGACACGATATGACGTGACGTGCGTCGAAGAACCGTTATGGACGACGCCTAAAAAAACTTAACATCTCATATAAGGGGTCTTATTTCAACAGAGGGCATCGATCGAGCAGCTCAACCACAAAGGACAGGGTTTAGCAGGACTTGAGCTGCTTGTGACGCGAGGGCCAACCCTACCGAACCGTTCATTTGGCATTTCGCACCATCCTTCCCTGAGCCGTGCATGACCGTAAATACAGCTGCGAGCCGCCCAAGTCAGCGGGT